CGTCTAAACAAACTAGAAAGTAGAGATCGGCTTAGCAGTGTACTATTGAAGTCAAGACTATATAGATACACACACTCACAAAGACTTGCCACACTAGACCTCGTGAAAATCCTCCAACGAAACAACTTATGCAAATTGAAAACGAAACAAAAAACAAAACATCCCTCTAACATGTTCATCATCCAATATATCTCGACTACTGGAGTCGAATCAGCTCTCACGACTTTATGTGACTGATGAGATTAGTCGATTCCTTTTTTCCAAGTCCAATTCTATGACTGAGCAGGAACACCATCGACACATTACGTTGGCTAGTTGCAGGTTAAAACTTCGAAAATCAAGAATGCATGCAAAGTGCTTATAAACAATTTAAAATATAAATAAATAAAAATAATTAGTGGTGTATAAGTGAGTAGTGTTTGTGGGTGTTTTGAAATCTGTGAATAAAAAGTGATTTGATGTTTAAAAATATTTTATAAACATGCTAGACTTCAAAAAAATTTCACAAAAGATGGTCGGGAGACCGTGGAAATATTGCACGAGCATCGAAGTAAATTAATGTGAAGAACTATCATAATACATATTTTCATCTAGATAATTTTGTGATTATTTGATAGTTAATTAATTGCTAATCATTTTCAAAGATAATGGCGAGACTAATTATAAGCAGCAATTCATTCGTGTAAGTAGCTCCAATCATGCTACACAAACAGGTTCAATGACAGACTTAAAAACAGGAGAGACATGTGTCTATACATGAGTGGACAGTTTGAAAAATAAAAGAATAAATAAAATAAAATAAAAAACCCACACATATACTACCAAGTCAATCTGTCTGTTTCTTATCGGTTTTTGAGTCTGTTCAAGTAGCAATATTCAAATAGCTCCCTCTTTTGTACTGGTATCGTAATGCATGTTGGCAAAAATGTACTTTACTGAGTTTACTCCATAATTATTTTACATATTGTTTATTCTGAAATAGGGTTCTCTAATTAATTAACAAATAAATAAAGGTACTAAAAATTAGTATCTAACAATTTTATTTGCAAATTGTATTGTTAGTTACATTGCTGATTTCCACAGTTCAAGAACCAACCTTTGTTAAATTTCTTCACTTCTAATTTGGTAAATTTTGAGTAGAAAATTTTCATCACCCCACGTAAATGACACAAGACCAATTTTCGAACAATTAAATGATTTCCAAAATGCAACTCCAAGTTATGATTTCAGGGTATAGACAACGTGTATCTATTTGAAACAAAATTACAAGTTTTGGATATCCATGGGAAAATGGAATAATAGATTATCTAATCGACTATCTAGTTTTAAAAATGGTCAGGCGAGGGTCATCGGATCCGACCCTGACATTTTGGGACTCTATGTTAAACTTTATATGAGCCTTCTATAAATAATTGGGAAAAAATTACATGCAATGATTAAAAATATTTTTTTTACTAAATAATAACATTCAAAGTTACATTAAGAATAGTTGAACGTAGGCATGATTTATGATGTCGATGCCGAGGGCCCGCTTTGCTAGTCATCACAAGCTAGTTCAAACAACAACTACGAGCCCACCAAGCATCGAATCAGGTGCATGATGACATGTATCATTGTTCGAGCACATAAAATTTAGTATTATGTTTTTATTATTATTATTATTTTATGAATTTTTAAGATTACTGTTCTAGAGGTATTCTGTTTTCTTCGCTATTACTATTGAGGGCCTGTTTGGGCCAGATTAAAATTCGATTTTAATTCAAGTCAAAATCAAACAATCAATATCAACCTCATCTTTCATAGATCACACATCTTTTCAACTACACATTTTAAAAACTTCTATCACAATCCACTTAAAATCTGATTCCCTTTTGAATTTTCTTGAGTAAAAATTTACTCAAAACATATTTGATTAAAAAAGTAAAATTTGAGCCTAAAACTTATGAGATTAACTTTTTATTACTCATAATTGGCAATAAAAAATTGGTGCATCAAATTCAGTCCTCATGCATTGTATACTTTGAAGGGTTCAACCCGGCAACATAAAAATCTTGGTTGGTTAATTGTTTCAAGATTGTTAATAGATATACAAAGCAAAAGTGAATTTGTTCAATGGAAGAATATGTAGGTCTAATAGTAATTAGGCATGTAATTTTACTATTTTTATCTGTGGTTTAAAACTTCTAATTTCTATTTCGAGGGTTTTAATTTACTCGATTCTTTATTTCCAAGTTACTTTTTTTTTTCCTTTCAAAATGTTACAATCCCTTAGCCCTTTTGAAAAATTATGTAATTCGTAATCATATACGATCATGATACATATAATTTTCTAATATTGCATTATTCTATTTTTTATAAATCTGCACCAAACATGCCATCGACTGTCTTGAAATTCTGCAGCCCGCATTGAATTTATGAATGTATGTTTAAAAAGGGAATCCCAATAAGTTAGTAAATATTCATCATGGATAAAGAAATGAGCTTCATATTGCATGAGAGGTCGAAAAAGTTTACCAGATTTTCCATCCTTTAGTTATTCATAATAATATACGTTTTCATACGGAGCTTATGTCCAATTCACATTGCTTTTTTTGAGGCACTTTTTACTTATTTTCAAGAGCATTGCATGTGATTATTTTGACATCTACGTTAACTATACTGTATGGTAACATGATAATTAATTCAGGACAAACCTTTTGGCTGCAAATGCCCGAATTACAGTTAATGGTTTTCACAGTATGATATGTTTGTTTTACACGCTTATCTAGATGTTTAAAAACAGTGGCGGATCCAAAAAAAAAATTGGACACGGGCTAAAACCCAAAAAAAAAAAAAAATTTACACGTAAAAAAAAAATTCACTAATTTTTTTTTTCTTAGGATCTGGGCAAAGGGACCGGCTGTAGAAGAGGCTGGCATATCCCTGGATCCGAACCTGTTTAAAAATGTATAATATGAAGTAACTTGACATATTTTTACTTAATTTAGTGTATATATTGCTTTTAAGGGTGAAAATCGATCTTTAAATAAGATAAATAAAACTCTAAAAAAACTAAAAGGAGTAAAGAATGGTTTACTAAAATAAATAGATAGGTATAAAAAACCAAGTACATGTGCAATAATCAATTCAAATAAATTCGAGCGGTGTCAATCTTTCATCAATCGACATCCTAAGATCGTAAATATGATTATCCTAAGTGGACTTAATATTTGAAGACAATGTTCCATTATTAGGCGAAGTTGAATGTGGTACAATTACTACTACATAATCCTCATGAAGGAGATATTGTAACCCGTCAAGAGTTAGGGGTAGGCAAAAGTTATCAGAACCGTTTAGTCGAATTGGAGTCGAACCGGAATGACAGGTCCCATCAAGCTGTAATTGGTTTTGTGTATTAAAATCAAGAACCGTTCAATTCCAATCCGATTCTCGATTCTAGTACCAAGAATCAATAACTGCTTGGAAAAGAGAGAAAATTATTTATGTGGTTAAGAATTGGAAATCATTAATCTGATAAACTGCTTGCTTTCTGGTATTGATGAAACACAAAACAAAATGGGTTGAAAAGTAGACAGATCTCTGTAACTTAGCTGAAAAGTGAGTAAATTAGGTAAACATAATTCTATCCGGAAATCAAACTGCGCTTTGTACTATGTATGACCAACAAAGACTGAATGCCGTGTGGATCAAGTAACTAATTACCTTCGTAACTTTGTCTCTGTTCTTCTTCTTTTTCTTTTTCAGTTCGCTGGCCATCCATTCCTATATGTTTCTAGTACTAGGGATACTATAGGATTACTATCTAATTATCTGGTTGTTATGTAATCCTTGTTTGGTGTCAACAATTAATTTTAACCACACATTTCATCAACATGTACCAAATTTTATTAAAACACTGATTTTAATTCCCCCACCAAACAAGGGCTTAAAATGACCTTTTTTTGAATGCTACATTTACATAATTATTTATAAATTGATTTACAGATTGATGACATGGCATTATATTAAAATTTAATTGATTTTTCTCTCTCTCTCTCTCTCTCTCTCTCTCTCTCTCTCTTCATGACTGTTTTTTTCTCTTTCTGTGTACATCAATTTGTAAATAATTATGTACAAGTAACATTACTCTCATAAACCACCATGGGCTGCCGGCCATTATGCAATGCCTTTGTGATAGATATGTGAAACTCTAAAAAGTGCGTTCTTGAAATATAATGTAAATATTTTACCCATTTATACCATATGTTCCATGGCACAGAAAACGTTTTGGAAGACAACAATGGAANNNAACGTTTTGGAAGACAACAATGGAACCACATAGGTCGAATCACTTTCCCGCCAAAGATAATGCCAACCCTTATCCCAAAGATGATGCCAACAACATTCTCGAAGACATGATTATAATTTGAATGTAGCTTAGTGTCGAGAATTAGCAACTCTAATTATATACTACAAAGAGCAATAAAATTGCAGTAAAGAAATAAAGACATAAAAGAACACGAGAGATTTGTGGAGGTTCGCCTCAATATAAGACTATAGCCTCGTCCACAACTACAATAATTCACTACGATTTACAAGAAGAAGTTGTACACCCTATTTTCTATATCTCTTTTTTGTGATGACAACTTCTATATATAAGGTCATCTGCGTATGGACTTCATACAGCAATAATAATTAGACTTCATAACTTAAAATTTTAGTTGTTAGAATATGATCTTCAAACTTGTCTCCATTTACACCTTAACAAATTTGACAATAGAAGAGTTTCAGTTATTAAAACTGTGATGTACGGAAATCTGGTGCAAACAGCAATATGCACAATTTATTTATTTCTTGAATATTCACTATGTCCTTCTCATCCATATCAAATTCTTTTTTACATTAAATTTACGACATCTGTAGAAATTTCATAAATAAGTAATGGCGATACTTTAGTTTAAGACTTTCCATGAAATTCTTAAAATTAATCCTTCTTCGAGTCTCTAGGAATTCCGCTTTCCATGAACTTTGATAGCATTAAACAAATTCAACCTCATGATGCTATTGTGACTCGTCGCCTTGACTCAATCATAAACTTATTGTTATCTCTCACATGTAACCTGCCTTTTTTTTTTTTTTTTTTGGATTTTGATTACAAGAAAATAGAGTTTCAGTTATTGACAAAAACGAAAATTTATCGCAAATAGAAAGTACCATCTTAATGATTTTATGTTCTTTCGACATGATTGATTTATTCAAAATAAAAAAAAGACATATAATCTTGTTGTGCCAGTTGGCAAATTTTGTGTCTTGATCCTTATTTATTTAATATTTTTATTTATGCCATATTTAGTACACAAACATCGATTTTTTCCTCAATAAAATAATTTTAGCGTGAATTTATAACTTTTTTCATTTTTTACCGCACATTTTCTAAAATATCATTTTTCACTAAATTTATTCTCAAAAGAATAACATCAAACATGCCCTTAATAGTATATTTCAATGTTCTAAATGGCGTGCCTTGATGGTGCCCGAGATGTTGTAAAACCGCCACGACTAGGACCAATGCATTAATTTAGTAGTCAACAAAAGCGTTGACCACTTTAAAATGCGTCTTGGCGCACATTATTAATATTTTTTATTTTTTTGGCTACATAAAGTTTTCAACTTTTAGACCATTAAATTTAAGGTCCAAAAAGTTTCTTATCCACTTATTGGTCCACTAATTTATAGAGGACATCTCCAAGGATTTTGTTGTAAACTCTTTAGTTTGGCGGTAACGCATTGTACATTTGATTTGGCTGCAACGCATTGTACTTTTAGTTTGGCTATAATATATTTTACTATTGTATAAATAGTTACTTATATTTTATTGTGTTAATTCAACATTTCCTATCTTTTACTAATTAATAAAAATAATTCTTCAAATATTTCAATTAACACTACTATAATATATCTTGTTTATTGTTCAAAAATATATTTATTATATTAAGCTTTTAAAACTACATTTGGTACTATAATTTGTATATATATTATTAAATGATTTTTGAATTGATTAAAAATTAAAATAATATTAAAATAAAAAACTCTTTTTTTTTTTTTTACGTCTTTTTACTCTGAAGCCTCGTCTAGACTCGCATCAACCGAAGCTTGACTTCAACGACGCACGATCTTGCTACATATACATCAAGACTTACTTAATAATTAACACAAATTACAATTGTATTAAATCGTCGAATTTCAAGACGCTGAAATAAAATATCAATAATGTTTCAGAAAGATTATTGTTGAGTTAATTTATTATTCATACTTAAATGTCAACTAGAATGGACCTTGTCGATGATCTCAGCACAACCCATGTCGAGCTTGGTTGAACAAAAAATGAAAAAATGTCCCACACTATTCGGTCGGATCCTTTTTATTTCCCATTATACTCGAAAAAATAAATTACAAGTCGTGTACAAAATATTTCACAAATAGCTTGAAGTTCTCTTTACTCCAAACAGTTTTTGTTTGTCGAAAGTAAACGGTAAACAGGACCAAAGATCATTAACTAAAATCTGAATCTAAATTCACTAACTTAAGCCTATAAATAGTTCTTCGATAATGCTTCAACTCCTCATCCCATATCTCTCTCCCCTCTCTACTACTCTCTGTGTGTGTGTGTGTGTGTGTGTGTCTCACACAGGCACACAAAGGCTTTCTTAGTGAATTTTCTTGCTTTCCATTGCCTCTTCACCTTTTTCCACTACTCATCATTTGCAGCCAATGTTAATTACAATGTTCAAACTCTGGGAGCAAAACCAGATGGAAAAACTGATTCCACCAAAGCATTTTTGATAGCATGGACCTCAGCCTGTGCCTCTACGCAGCCAGCCACCATTCATGTGCCATCAGGAAGATTCTTGCTTGGCGCCACAACTTTTTCCGGCCTAAAATGCAAAAGCCGGGCTATAACGCTACGCATTGATGGCACTCTTGTAGCTCCATCTAATTATAACACGATCGGAAATTCTGGTACCTGGATGAAGTTCAAAAGAGTCACCGGAGTTTCTGTCATTGGTGGAACCCTAGATGGCCAAGGGGCTAATTTGTGGGCTTGCAAGAATTCTGGTAGGAGTTGTCCAAAAGGATCGACGGTATGTTAATGAGAACAAAGTGGAC